AGAAGAAGTCAAACTAAAAAAAATAACCTATATACACAAAGAATAAACATACTTACATAAAGATCTCAGGAATGTTAGTCTAGTAATCTACTTCTAAGCATTTACCTTTGCCGCCAAACAAAAAAAAATCATGTACGTATGTATGTACGTACGTACGTATGTAACTAAAGATGATCATGTAACACAATCACGTTACATGCCCTAGAATTTATCGAACCCCAGTGTTATCACTACATGGTATACTTATAAGTATAAAAAAAAATTTTTCAAGTATTGTACTCATAAGTATAAATGAGTATACTCTACAGTATAATTTTATACTATACTCAATAACTGATCAATACGCATACTTGATACCACATCTCCCTTATATATCAAGGCTTAAAGAAGTTATTACATACTATAGTGAATAAGGTTCTAACCTTTAATAGGGTTTTTTAGTATCTAACAATAGAAATTACAACAATTTCAATTCAGACTAACTTAACCACTATGAAAATTTCCAATATACTAACTTAACTATGAGTATTAAGACTATACATACCAATGAAATAATAATTCAAAAGATGAAATCTAAATTATTTTTATATAAAGACAAAATTGAATTACAGAATCTGAAATAGACCCCAAAACCTGAAATAAGCATTGAAATTCAAAGTTGACCCGAAAACAAAAAAAAAACCAAAAAAAACTATATAGTAATTATAACTAAAAGCTTTAGTAAGTACAAAGTTTAATTTGATTCGCTTTATCAATTGTGTTTTAAGACATTGATTAATTATAATTATTCAATCGTTTCAAGGTGAGTATGAAGTTTAATTCGATTTGCCTTAATGACTATATTTCAAGAGAACATGTGATTAACCATAATCATTTAGTCATTCAATAAATTACTAGGGTGAGTACGAAGTTTAATCTGTTTCATCTTAACGATTGTGTTTCAAGAGAACATACGATTAACTATAATTATTTAATTGTTCAAATAAATTACCAGAGTAAGTACAAAGTTTAATTTGATTTGCTTTAACAATTGTGTTTCAAGAGAACATGTGATTAACTGTAATAATTTAATTGTTTAAATAAATTACTAGGGCGAGTGTGAAGTTTAATTTGATCCACTTTAACATTGTTGTTTCATTAACCAATTGTTCAAATAAATTACCAGAGTATGAAATTTAATTTAATTCACTTTAATGATTATATTTCAAAAAAATGTGTGATTAACCATAATCATTTAATCATTCAAATAAATTACCAGGGTGAGTATGAAGTTTAATTCAATTTGCTTTAATGATTGTGTTTTAAGACATTGATAATTGTAATTATTCAATTGTTCAATAAATTATCAAGATAAGTAAGAAGTTTAATTTGATTCACTTTAATAATTGTGTTTCATGAGAATGTGTAACTAACTATAAACATTTAAACATTCAAATAAATTACCAGTGTGAGAACAAAGTTTAATTCGATTCACTTTAACAATTTTATTTCAAGAGAATATATTATTAACCATAATCATTTAATCATTCAAATAAATTATCAGGATAAGTATGATGTTTAATTCGATTCGCTTTAATGATTGGATTTCAAGATATTGATTAATCATAATCATTCAATCATTCAATAAATTACCAAGGTAAGTAAGAAGTTTAATTTGATTCACTTTAATAATTGTGTTTCAAGAGAATGTGTAACTAACTATAATCATTTAAACGTTTAAATAAATTACTAGTGTGAACAAAGTTTAATTTGATTCACTTTAACAATTTTATTTCAAGAGAATGTATGATTAACCGTAATTATTTAATCATTCAAATAAATTATTAAGGTAAGTATGATGTTTAATTTGATTTGCTTTAACAATTGTGTTTTAAGACATTGATTAATTATAAACATTTAATCATTCAATAAATTACCAAGGCAAGTAAGAAGTTTAATTTGATTTGCTTTAACAATTGTACTTCAAAAGAATATGTGATTAACCATAATCATTTAAACATTCAAATAAATTATCAGAGAAAAATTTGATTCACTCTGGGTGTTCTCAAGCCCCTTAATCAATGGGGCAAAAAGCGTCGGGAAATAAAATTTATTTGGCGGAAAATATTTTTAGTAGGTCAAATGTGTTTGTCATCGTAATGAATATTTAAATGATAATCGTAATTTAATAAAGTTTATTACGTCAATAATATATTTTTATTAGTAAAAAATATTAAGTGAGTTTATCATTTCAATTTACAAACTTTTTGCCACAGACCATCTTTTTTTTATCCCTGGCTTGGCAAAAGTTACAATTAATTGAGTATTCATAGAGATCGCTCAAATAACAGTCATGGATCCAAACTCTCGGTACCAACGAATTATTATCTTACTCCTTATGCTGAAAGTTTTTATGGAAAATAAAAAACGTCAAAAGACCCAAAGAACAATTGTAGACTTTTAGCCTTTAATCATATGGCAACAAGTTCAACTATTTCACAGATAATTTCTTCATTTGGTACAATAACCCAATATCAACGAAGACCTAAAACTGGTGGATTCTGGACGGATGTTTTTCCATGCTTAACTAACTTCTTTCTTTTTTTTTTTTTTTTTTTTTTTTTTTTGGTTTATTAATTTTTGCCGACGACATTTGATATGTAAATAAAATAATAATAAATCGCTCAAGTATCAATTACAATGTTTATTTTTATTGATTATGATAAATGAGCATCATCACGATCACTAGCTAATCGCATCAAGGACGATGCTTGAGAAAATTTCAATTACATCATAGCTTACATATTCGAATCGTAAATAAAAATTTTACATAAATATAATTATATTTGTGCACCATTACGATCACCCGCTAATCACATCGGGGTTGAGGTTTGAGAACACCCTCTGTTTGTGTTACAAGATATTAATTAACTGTAATGATAATTCTAATGCAATAAACTCAACTGCGACTACATACTGTGATTATTGAATAGCAAGTTTATAATAAAAATTTTTACTTCAAATTATAACAAAAATTGATTAACTCAACTGTAACTACATTAATAAATAATTCCAATAATTCTAATAAAACTTATTAAAATTAAAATATTTCTTCATGGCATTAACTATAATTTTATTATGCAGGCGAAACAAGATTAGGTGCTCAAGGTAAATTAGTTTTTAAAAACATTTTAATCATATTATGAATAGTTTTATTTCACAAATTAAATTTAACTATATCTTATGATTAAAGCATTTTTTACATGGAAACCAATGTTGCATTGGTAATTCCAAAAAATGAAGATGATGAATTCGAAGTTCATTCAGGTTGTCGAAATGCTACTGCAGCTCAAAAAAGAGTTGCTGATGTACTTGGTATATCATCTAATAAAATAACAAGTCGAGTAAAAAGAGTAGGTGGAAGTTTTGGCGGAAAAAAAGCAAAAGGTCTTTATGTTTCAGCGGCATTAGCAGTCGGTGCTTGGACAGGACAAAGGCATCCTTTCTTAGGCAAATGGAATGTTGGTTTAACTAAAGATGGAAAAATTTTAGTGTATGACTTGAAGGTAGTAATTTCATAATATTCGACTTTCTTCCTTATTTAAATATATACATATATATACATATATATATATATTTATAGCTTTTTGTTATAAATTTCATTTTAGTATTATCTTATTTGTGAAGGGACATCAGATGTGACCATAATTGTAGCTCTGAGTGATTTACTTGCTGCTGATGGTTGTTATTATATTCCGAACATACGGCTTATTGGAAATCCTTGCAAAACCAACGTTCATTCAAATACAGCATTTAGAGGATTTGGACAACCTCAAGCAGTATTTATTCTTGAAAGTATGTTGAGTGAATTGAGTGTATGTGATTTATAATAATATATAATAGATATACGTGTTGATTTCTTTTAATACAAAATTCCGTTCTTTTTTTGAATAGGAGAAGAACCTCTATATGGAAGGTCAAAAAACTCCTTATAACCAAACGTTGGAAAATTGGTTTTACCCTCGGTCTATCAGCTGGTCAAAGAAACTAGTGAATTTGAAAAGCGGAAAAAAGAAGTTGAAGAATTTAATTCTAATAATAATTGGCATAAAAGAGGTTTGGCACTTTTGCCAATCGAATTTGGGGTTTCTTTTCCTGTTGCTTTAATGAATCATGCTGGAGCTTAAGTGCATATTTACCTCGATGGAAGCGTTCTAATAAATCATGGTGCATATATATATATATATATGGACTTCACACAAAGATGTTGCAGATCGTTTCTGAAGCTTTAGATGTTCATATTAATACAGGTAAAAATTTTTATTAATTGCATCTTTAGTAGTGTAGCATAAATTGTATAGTTTTCTAATATTATTATTGCTTTTGACCAAATATAGTCCATTTATTGGAGAGTGCCACGAATCTAGTAATTAATTCAACGACTACAGCTGGAAGTACTGGTAGTGATCTTAATGGATATGCTGTTCACAATGCTTGTAAAACTTTAGCCGAAAGATTAAAACCATATCATGAGAAAATGCCTGATAAAAGTTTCGAAGAGGTATTCATATATTACTATATTAAAAAATTTTTAATATGTAATTTTATTTTATACTTAAAAATTCTTTAATATGCTATATTTAGATTGTTAAAGCAGCATATCATGATCGAGTAAATTTATCTGCAAATGGATTTTACAAAGCTCCCAATGTTGGTCTTCACAATTTTGAAAAAAATGAAGGCCAATATTCTTATAATATACTACAGGAGCAGCATGTACAGAAGTTGAAATTGATACATTAACGGGTGATCATACAATTTTACGAACGGATTTATGTATGGATCTTGGTAGAAGTTTAAATTATGCATTAGACGTTGGACAAATCGAAGGAGGTTTTATACAAGGCGTTGGTTGGTGTACTAATGAACAAACATTACACTTTCCAAATGGGAATTTGTTCACTACGGGACCTGAATATAAGATACCTGGGCTCGATTTATTTACTTTTTTTTCTCTTGAATTTTTCTTTTTTTACAGTGAATCCTAAGTTTTATGTATTTTTAGAGATATACCCCAAGATTTCAGGATATATACGTATGAAGGTGCAAAAACCAATGTAAAATCAATCCATAGTAGTAAAGGAATTGGTGAACCACCATTGCTTTTAGGAAACACTGTATTTTTTGCTATTAGGGATGCTATTACAGCTGCGAGGTATCCATTTATTTATTTAATTAAAAAAAGAAAATGTAATAATAACGATACTCCGGTAATTTTAAGATTACCTGCAACACCTGAAAGAATTCGAATTGCTTGTGATGATAAAATTGTGAGAAAGTGTAAGGTTGAGAAAAAGGATGGCGAAGTTCCATGGGTTGTTGAATCTTGGACCAAATTCATAATTAGGCCGTTTGAAATTCCCTTTATGGAGTTTAAATACAGGGGTTGCTAAAAAACTAATATTATTATTATTGGCTAGCCCACAAGTACATGACTAATTGAAACGAAATGAATGTTCTGATTGACTTGTTTAACTCCAAGGGGGCTCTTGGAGGTGGGTAGGGAACGTTAAATGAAATTGTAATTTCAAACCACCTTATATTAGTTTAATATAGTTTCCTTTGTTTTGAAGCTATAACGCAACAAATTTATATAAGATGGATCTAGTTGAAAGATTATAAACTATTATTTTATCCTTTGATAGGTAGTCGACTAACGTATAGCATCAGCGTAAAGCTATACACTATTTCTATATAAAGATTAGATGATATTTTATGTTGATATTTTGTTCTATGCTGTTACTATATGGGTTTAACATTTAGTTTATTTAGTTCGTTTAATTGGAAAATGAGATTTCAGTTTTTGAACTTGTATTTCTTTTTTTATTCATATTATTAAAGCTGCTATTTATACACAGTTGTCTTTGAAAATTTCACTCAACAATTCTGGGTAGTCACTAAATTTGTAATTGAAATTTTGTATATTCGTTATTATATATTAGAAAAAAATTGTACTGTACTATTCTGTGCATATGGCTGCTTGAAGTTGAATTTTCGGTTAGCATCACCTTTAAACTCTTGGAGGGAAACGAACATATAAAAATTGGTAGATTAAGTAAATGGTGAAAGCAATCCAGCGTTTGATTGGTTGTTCATTTTTCGGGGATCTGGGGGGTGATGTTAACCGAAGAATTAACTCGAGCAGTCAATATATAACCAACAACTAATATTAATCAATATGAATAATTTAACTCTCCTAGTTTTTTTTTAGCAAACAAAAGATTGACTTTATGAATGTTTGTATGGGCGAATTTTCTACGAATTTTCTACGAATATTCTATCGATCCCTATTCAAGTCAACGAGCGATTTCATATATTTTAGGACAATCACATATCAATGATAATACCAAAAAGTGCTATATGACCATGATTAGCTCGTCGAGAGCCAACATTATTGCGAAATCAGTAATTCTGGTCACATGAATGAGACACGTGAACATGTGCGCAAGAAAATAGAAAAACGTAGTCGTGAATTCAAGAACATTTGCGCGTGAAGAAATGAAAAATGATCATGGTTCAGAGGTTATAATAACGCAAAACCATTTGATCAGTTATATAGCATATATGGATAATGATAAATCTATAAGGAACATCGTAGCTCTGATGCTAAAGTAGCGCAAAGACCACTTGATTTACGTTAAGTTGTCTAGTATTTGCATCAAAAAAAAAAGGAGGAAGAAAAGACGAAATGGAATTGGAATTATCAACTAAGAACTTGAAATTTAAATACCGATTCTCTTCTATCGAAGGACTAGCCCTACTTCTCTTTGAGATTGATAGACCAGTATTTAGGCAAGACCAACTTGATTCTGTGTTTTACGTTATCCCCTTCTACTTTCTTGGGGAGGGGCGTTTGACCTTATTATATATTAGAAAAATTTTTTTAACCTATTTTCTAAGGCAAAATTTTTTATTGTTTTATTATAAGGGAAAGGAGGAGAGAATCTTGGGGGTAACGTAAAACACAGAATCAAATTGGGCTCTCCTTAGGTCATGACCCAAGAAAACGAAGTACTCCGTTTAGTGATGCCTGACGAACCATGTGATGCTAATTATCACGTGCTATTACTTATAAAAAATCAAAATAGATTGTTGGTTTTTATATATTGTGCCATGTGACAATTAGCATCACATGGTTTCGTCAGGCATTACTAATTCTGTATTTTGTAGTATGCTATGTACAGTACCTACGAGACTTATTCACACATTTGATTACTACGTAACAAACTAATAACGTTTTTTGATCGAACAATCACAATGCAAATATGATATGTAAGGCCGCGTAAAGTTAAATTTCGTTTGCATAATCCGCCGACCTAATTTTTCAAAAAAAAATTTTTTTTTTTTTAAAGTTCCAATTATTCCATTTTTGCTATCGCTATTTAATTTTTTTCCGTAAAATTTAACCGGTATCACCCGATAGCAAACTTAATTTTCCGGAATAATCCGACAGGCCTGCTTAAAAAAAAAACAAAATTTCCAAATTTTCTGATTATATGTTATGCAAAACGAAAAATTAACTTGCGTGGCCTTAAATATGAGCATGAATCTATTAATTTATAGTACACGTAAATTTTTTTTTTTTTAAAAAAAAACTGGTACACCAGGTTATGCAAAACGAAAAATTAACTTTGTGTTGCCTAAGCATCCGTTTTAGTATGTGGAAATAATTAATGATGCAAATATTTTAGAAAATTTTGATTTCAACATGGTATTTGTATCTATAATAAGTGATTGTTGTTTTATTTTCCTTGCATTGTAAACGTACGCTGTGAAAGGGTAAATTGTGGCTTGAAAACTAATTTTATGTATATAGTAGGTCAGATATATATATATTTAGATAGAATATTGGGCTATTTTTATTATATGAACGATGCTGAGGTGGGAAATAGAAAATGCCCTTTCTAAATTTAGACATTACAACATTTACCTTGCTTTTGGTACCAAATTATGTCATTTTAAGGTAGCTTCATGTGTCAGACTACCCGAAGACGCAGTAATGTGAAAGTATAAAAGCGCGATTAGTCGCATTGAAATAAACACAGTTAGATTGGAGTTATACAGAGAGTTGGAGGACTCTATTTTGCCCTAATAACTTGGACCAAGTCTTCCACGCATCTTTCGTGCCTTCCACCATTAGGGTTTAGATAGGGATTAGTCGTTTGGTGTGTTATTTCGATTGGTTAGTATAGTTTGAGACTCGTACTACCCGAATTTTCCAAATTTTTGAATTAATTTGACCTTTCTCAACGTACAGTATGCACGTTTTAACAGGGAAATTTGACCTGGCCGCAGTAAAATTGTCACTTGATTTTAATTGGCTGTACTTTGTGAACGATCCTCGATATTTTTATATCTTTTAGCTATGGTTTCTCAACGACTATCTATTAATATTAATGTTTCTTTTTTATTTGAATTCTACAATTATGTAAAATTAAAATAAAAAAAATTATTTATTTTGACCTATTATAGTTTTAAAAAACGTTGGAAATCAAAAATGGCTACGATTGATTTCCTCGAAAATTTCTCGATAACTACCGGATCAAATTCTATGAATTTTTTTATTGTTAATTCTACGGGTCTGTAGAATTAATATAAAAAATTTGTATCGAATCTGATCCAGAAGTAATCGAGAAATAATTACTTTAAGTATAAAAAAAAGTGTTGTTTTTTCTTTTACATACAAGCGTTTTAAACTTTGAACGAAAATTTCTAATTGATTACCTGATCAAATTCGATGAAATTTTTTTATTTTAATTCTACAGACTTCGTAGAATTAAAGTAAAAAATCTTCATCGAAGTTTGTCCAGTAGTTATCGAGAAAATTTCGTTAAACAATAAAAAAATCAATCGTAGCCATTTTTCTCAAAAATTTCAAATTTTAAATCGAAGTTTTCTCGATAGCTAACAAGCTAAACACGATAAATTTTTATTTTATTTTAATTCCGCATGTAGAATTAAAATAAAATAAAAATTTATTATTAATCAAATAGTCGTTGAGAAACCATCGCCAGAAGATATAAAAAAATATCAAGGATTGTTTACATAATACAGCCAATCAAAATCAAGAATCTTCCGTGACAATTTTATTGCAGCAGCTATGGTTAATCATTTGGGAGAGCGGATAAAGAACTCAGGTATAGCCATAAGACGGTTAACAGTTACGTCACAGAGAATGGGTTTGGAATAACAATTACGAGACAATAATCACAAAGTTTATACAATATCAATAAAAATATTAACAATATAAAGATAAATATAAATAGCAATATACAGGGAGACACAAAGTTGATTTTTCGTTTTGCTTTACACGGATTTCAAAATCCTGGTCGGTCGGATTTTTTTTAAATATACAGTAAATTACTAGACTCAGCTCATGTTCATATTTAAGACCACGCAAAGTTAATTTTTCGGGTTGCCTAATATGGAATCGGAAAATTGGTCGGCAGTCGAATTTTTTTTGTCAGTTTTATCGCCTCATCGGGTGATGCCAGTTTAATTTGTGGAAAAAATTAAATGCCAAAAAATAGAATAACTGGCACAATTGGGACTTAAAAAAAAAGGTCGATGAGTAATGCAAAACGAAATATCAACTTTGCGTGGCCTAATCTAATTAATCAGGGATAGGTCTCTTCGGCCAACGCTGCTTACATCTTACTTTATTGAGTGGATTAAGAGTCATTTTTATACATGATGGTAAGTGGAGCGAATTCACACTGTTTTACACAGTTATCGTTACCTTTACATAGTTTCCGTTCCCGCCTACCCGGTAATCGTTCCCTCTCAGGAATCGCCTCCAACTGGACTCATTTCACTCCCATTTACTCACGGTTTCCCGGCATAAACGCAAATCCATGTAAAATCTCACTGAGACAAATTCTCATCTAACAAGACGCAAATTTGTACTAAGCCCGGAATAAACTAATACTAATATTTACAAATATGGAATGAACAGAAAACCCGAATATATAAAATATGAATGTACTGTACGTGTATCACGAGGGATTCATGACACCGGGACCTTAAATGCGCATTGATCGACAAAAGAGAAGGTATATGGGGTGTTGTCAATAGAAACAACACATTTTTACATTTTTTATTTTATTTGATTTGATTTTAATAGATATACATTCAATAAAAAAAGTTAGTTATATGTCACGAAATTTAATTATATAATAAAAATTTTCATAAAATGAGCTTTAAATTGAAAATTTTATGTGTTACTATATATAGATCACTTTACACAAATTGGCTTTCTATTAAAAGCACCTATATACAGCTAATTCGAACTTGGCTCGAGACGAAGTTCCATTGAGAACAATTGTAAGACGTTTCCGGTATACTAATAGTGGGAACTGGATGTCATAATTATGCAATTGGTATGAACTATTTAACGTTAGCCACGTTAGCCATAGATACTCTAAATAGTCATATTGCTTGTAAGGTCTTAGTCAGTAGCAAAGCCCCAATTTAATTCGTAATATGATCCATGTAACTTGATATAGATAGTAATAATAATATTGATAAAGACCATCTAATAAAAACTGGGATCCTAGTGGCAGTAGGACCTTTGGTTCTCGGGACCAAGTCTTCCACACCTTCTTTCAAATAGCTTTGTTTTTTTTGGTTGTATTTTAGCCATGCCTTTATAGCGCACTGTGCATAGCGGGCTTTATTATGATTGGCTGATTTTGAAGATCATCTTATCATAAGAAAGTCTTATTAAAGTAACGATTT